GACTCAGTCCGTATTTTCTCTTCACCAAATACAAGCTATATGGGATGCTGGGCAAATTTCTGTGCTTCATTTTCCTCATCTGCAACATTGGATAATCATATCTGCATCCAAGGATGGCGTAGAAGCCATGAGTGAATACATAAAATAGCACAGTGCTTGGCATCCTAGCATAGCAATGTGCTCAATAAAACTAGTAATTCGTTTTTAAGGTTAAACCTATTCGTTATCTATATTACATTTGAAGATGAGAACTAGGAGGTCTCTAGGCAGCGTGGAGGAGGTGTGGGTAGTATCCCCTAATCACCCGTGACTCCTCCCTCTGTTGCAGCCCCCCATGGGTGAAGAGGGCAACCACAAGCGACACCTAGTGGCAGCAGGAGGTGGCAGCGGTGAGGGCAGGAAGCGGTGCCCGTCCCAGTCTTCCAGCAGGCCTGCCACCGTGATCAGCCAACCCCCCACACCACCCACCGGCCAGCCCATCCGGGAAGATGCCAGATGGACAGGCCAGCACTCGGACACACAGACTTTGGGAAAGTGAAAAACCGCTTAGCCCTGGGGGTTTGGGGGTAGGGGGTGGGCAAGAGTCCATGGAGGTGCCCAGTCCCAGGAGAGTGGACAGAGAAGGGACAGGCCTGGAGTCACTAGGATGGGCCTTCGTGCTGAGTCGCAGTGTGTACACCATTTGGGCTATCAGAGGTCCCCCTGGGCAGGAGCCTCCACGTACCCTCTTCCCCCTTCTTTCTCCATGACTCTTCCTTACATCCTAGCTTCTTCTACGGGGGGAGGGAAAGGGGGGAAATTTTTTTTATATATATATATATATATACATATACATATATATATATCAAGTTTTAAATTATTGATAGTTCGTCTGGATTACCAAAATCACTCTGTAGCCCTGCCCGCGGCTGGTAGGCCGCAACCCTGGTTTTCACCCCACAGCCGCCTCCTGCTCCCCTTCAAGCCAACTATGCAGCCCACAAGAGGCCCTGTGGGCCCCACTGTCCAGCTCTGTCCCGTGGAGGCTCCGGCAGCACCCCTGGGCCCCATGATCACTATCCCCTTTATAATCTGGGGCTTGCCGTCACCGTTGTTCTCCCCCTGCTGTCCCCACCAAGCCCTTCTGCCATCTTCCGGGAGAAGGAAACCAAAGGATCTAAAAGTGGAGGTGGGGGAAGGTTTTGGCCTTTTCCCCACTCCCCTCTTCCCATGCCCGTTACTCCTCAGCCCAGAGAGACGCTGCTCATACCAGAAAAGACTATTGAAAGATGATTTATTTTATTTTTCTCTGACCTTTCCATCCTTGGGGAAGAAAAAAAAAAAAAGACAAAATTGACCATAAAAGACCAAAAAAAAAAAAAAAAAATCAGAAAACCCCCACCTAATCCACAGAAAGTGATATCTTTCCCTTAACCTTGGAATTATTTTTGTTTTGTTCTTGGAAATAATATTTTTTTAAAAGTTGCCTTATTGTGGAGCGGGAATCTGAAATACCCAAATGCCTGTTTTCCTCGGTGGAGTCAACTCGAAGAGCTCCCACCTTCTCTGGATGTGCCTGGGCTGAATTGGCTAGAATCTTTCTCTGGACTGAGTTGCATGTACAGAGCCTCCTGCCTGGAGGCACGAGAGTTGGGCGTGGCTTGGATGAGAGCCGCACCCGAGATATCCCTGCTGTTGCATCGTTTGAAGCTGACGTCCTGTGTCTGTACACTGCTGCCACTGTCGTGTCCTCGCTCTGCTTACTGTCGCCTCACGCCAGGCTCTGCCCTGCCGTGACACCCTTCATCCTACCCTTGGAACCCCAAGGCCAAGATTGCTTCAAACTGTTGGAGAAGAGCATTGGCCTGGATCTGGGACACACTTATGCTCAGCTCGACCATCTCCCCACCTCGGGGGGGAAGGTGAACACCTGACTGCCGAGGCTCGGAGATGTTTCTTGTGCTGCCCTGAAAGGTCTTTGAGACCTCAAGGAGGCTTCGACTCATACAAGGTGGAGAAAGATGCCATTCTCCTCCCTTGTCTGGTGGGGTCTCCCCATCTTGCATCCCCCTCTGCAAGCCATCCCTGCCCACCCTCCAGTTGACCCTGCCTGGGAATGAGGGATGAGGAGGAGTTTTCGGGGCTGGGGGGAGCCCTGCCAGTTGGAGAAACCCCACAGCAGGAAGGTATATGTGGACATAGAGTATACCTGACTTCTCCAGCCACTGACTGCTTGGCTTGGGCTGTGAATGACAGTGGAATGGCTGGAGTCTACTAGTGTCTGAAGCTAGGACGGGTGACGAAGGACTGACCTACACACACTGGGCTGTGTGTCATGTGTGGGAGTGACAATGCATTCACCCCCAGTGGGGACCAGGCAGCACAGAGAAGTTCATGGTAGTGTTACTCAATCACTGACACGTCCTTGGCCCTCTTTTTCAAGTGTTCCCTCTTTTGGGCCCAAAGTATGGGAGTAGGGGACAGTTCCCAGGCTGGCAAGGGCTTGCCTCTGTCTTGGGCACTTCATGTCTTTTGGTCTGTGCCCTCACCCATCTCTGCCCTCCTAGTGGCTAGTATGTGGGAAGCCCATCTCAGTTGTCTCAAAAGCCAAGGATGTGTGTCTGATCTCTGCTTTGACAATGGGATCTGAGGCCTTTTCCTGCCCAGTCTGGTGCCTGCCCCATGTTGTATCAGACACTGGACTCTTGCACCCCAGCCTCTTTCTTGCTTTATTTCCCGTTTTCTTCAGGTCGCTCAGCCCTGTACTGTATCCAGCACCGCAGAAACCTCAGTGTTTGTCCTCTGCTGGGTTTGGGGGCACAAGGAAGCCTTGAGGGTGTGGGGAAAGGCTGTTCTGATCTATGCTTTACTTCCAGGCCAGGGGGCTGCCATCTTCTCCCTGATCCTCCCCACAGACACCACAGAAAGAGGAAGGCCCTTTGGGGTGAGGAGACGACTTCATCTCAACATAGACTGAGGATGGGGAGGGAGGAGACTTTTTTTTTTTTTTTTTTGGTAACATGTTAGGAGTTGATGTTGCAAAGAGTAGTTTACATCTTCACTTTCTGAAGACACTTGAATTTAGGACCGATGTATCTGTGACAAGCATGCCAGGAGTGGCAGGGGCCATCAGGGCTTGCCACTTCACATCCACCATCCTCCCATGGTATCCAAGATCTGAGACACAAAGCAACAGCCTGCTCAAATCCTTCTGTTCATCCTGTGCCCTTCCAGGATTGGTCCATGCCAACACAGCCTTTGGGCATCAAACATCAGAAGGTCTGTGTGCCTCAGCCCTGCTAAGGGGCAGGTTTCTCTTTCGCCCTCTCCTGAACCTGGGAGCAAATGTACCATTAGAGAGTGGTTGCAGGCCCTGCCCCAGCCTGGACCCCTAGGGCTCAGGTGGAGGTGCTGAGCCCCCATGTCAAAGTTGTTACGTTTTGTTTTGTTCCGTTCCATTGTAGCTCTTTTTTTCCCCCCTTTCTTGATGATTGATTTTACAAAAGAAAGTAAGCTGCTCAGAAGGCCCTGCAGTGGCAGGGAGGGGCAAGGGAGACAACTCGCTAAGGAGGGTAGGGGTGGTGTTTTGCCAAAAGCCTGGGCAGAGCGGTATGGATCATCTGGCACCCTCCTGAGTGGGACCGCAAAGTATCCTGTGTCGAAGGGTCCCTGGATTTGCCCTAGCCCCACCCTCTCCTTCAGCCATGTTGATGGCAGAGGCAGAGACGATTGGAATTTACAGCCCATTTCTCACTGGAGAGGAAAACTTGCCATCTGGCTTTGTGGAGAAGGTTCTACCTTATGCTCATAGTACATTATCTTTACCATGTGCTAGGATATCACATTTAAAAGGACAAAAAAATGTAAAATACTTGAATGAGCTTGTATTATAACATTAATATTATTGAGAGTATCCGCTTTCCAGGCTGAAGTGATTCATTCATTATTCTAGTCCTGCTTTAGTCCTTTGTAATTTGTGGTAATTATGCTTTTCTTTTTAATACAAAAAAAAATGTATAAAAATAAAAACTTGAAAAGGCACAGTACTGGCTGGTCTCCCATCTGGGGTACAGCTGTTGGGTCTGAGGGACGGAGCCTGATGAGGGAGGAACATTGCTCTGCACATGAAACCTTTACAGGGCTCTGCCATTGGGTTTCTGGGGAGTCTGGATGAGGCATGGGGCTCCTCAGAGAGCTGCTGAGGCTGCTAATGCAGCCAGGTGAAGTCTTCAGTGGTCTTTGAGCTTCTGCCAGCATTGAATTCATGTTCACCTTGTGTTCTGAGATGTTAGAGCTATAGCCAGTGCCACAGAACAGAGACGCTATCCAACAGAATTTCAGGGTTTCCTGTGCTGGCTGTAGCCTGGCTTTGTGGGAAGAAGTTGAAGATTGCTGTGATTTCTCACAGGAGGGTTGGCACAGCCCCTCATCGAACAGATTTCCTGGTGGGGTGTAGAGGAGTAACAGTTCAACACTGACCTTAAGGAATCCAGGTCAACCACTGAACCCTGGGGATTGATGCCAGGGAGGGATAGAACAGTGAGCATCAGCTCCCCTCCTGACTGGCCTCTGGGCTACTGGTGTCTTTTCCCTGACCACGAGGCCAGGTGTTGGCGGCAGCAACATCTGAATGCCAGTCTGGCCTAGGTGTTTAATTATAAAACTGAAATGAGGTGTGGCCTTATTTACTCATTCATCTGACAACTGTCTACAGTACCTGGCACTTGAACATCTCATCAGAAATGTTTTTCCAGAGAATTCTACCATCTGTCAGGTAGGCAGGTACTTTAATATGTACAATGTCTTGCAGAGGCCAAAGAAGAGTTTGGGAGATAGTGGCCACGGCTTCTGCAGACTGATTTGGACAGGGAGACGGGTAATTCAGCCATGCTTCCACCTGTTAGGAGTGTTTACGACAGGGGCCACCGATCGGTCTTGATTGTGCTGCTGTAGTTCTCACATGCCTTGTGATCGTGAGTGTTGGAATGAGTCATTGTGGAAAAAAAAACACAAGTATCTAATAGAGTTAAAAGGAGACAGTTTATTTTCCATGCTTCCACCCTTTCACATTTCTGCTGGGAATTTGAGACCGTATTTGTTTACCAACCTCAGAGGTCCTTCTTTTTGATGCAGAAGAGGATAGGGCTGGGCCCCTCTAACGGGGCCCAACCCCAACCACTGGCCTGCTGAAAGAGGTGAGAGGAGGCCAGCCTCTTGTCTCCCAACGTTCCCTGCAGTAATTTCAAAATCTAAACACCTTAAGGGGAAAACATGTTTCCTTTCTTATTCTTTCACCAAGCTCCTCGTTTCCTAACCATAAGTATTCTGAAGATGATGGGCTGTTGCCCAAATCTGTAGGAACAGGTCATGGGTATAGGCCAGCAGTTGTGATAACTTAATAACATTGATCCAGAGGTTGTACTTCAAGCTAAGGGCAAAGATGTCCCAGGGAGGGGCCGGGTCCACCAGTGCCAGAAGTGGGTAGGGGGGTGGGGCTTTGGAAGGCCAGAGAGGACGCTTCCTGGTAAGTGCCCGGTCGGCCCACTGGGCAGGTCCTCTGGGTTCCTGTGGAAATAGTCCTTTTTGATGGTTCTACCTGGAGACTTGGTCATATCAGATGTTAAAGTATTTTTTATAAAACTATAGTGGATGGTTATGACATAAGAGAACTGAAAGTTCAGGAATAGACCCAGGTACGTATACGAATTGAGTAACTGACAAGGGTGGCCTTTCAAATCAGAGTGGTCCTCAGACTGTTCTTTGGGACCACAGGGTTCCTGGCAATGTCAGTGGCCGGGGCGGGGACTGCAACCCTAAGCAGCTCTGGTTTTAGAATAAAGTCCCTGGTAAGATTTCATTTGAAAAGCATCACTGCTAAAAATCACCCTGAATAAATGGTGTCGAAACAACTGACTAATCGTTTGGGGTTAAATGAGGATTTTGTCCTTTTGTTAAGCCAAGTTTTTCTTGCATTCTCATTGAAGGAAGAGGGTTCTAGCCTCTGGTCCTGCTTCAGAGAGGCTAATCAGGGGCTTCAGCCGAGTGTCCCCAAAGGTCAGCAACTTTGACTCTTTGTGGATAAAAGGGTCCCCAGCTGGGCAAGTCCATAGGGTTTGGCCTTCTGTTGCCATGTATGGCTGAATGTACTGGGGTTTGGTCTGCACCTATCTCAGTTGCAATCCAGGGAGGAGCTCCTGTGATTGACATTTTCCTTTTCAGAAGGGGATAACGTTTGCAGTGAGTCAGAGTTAAAATGGTGCCTTTGTCACAGACTATGTGGCGGGGGAGGGGCAGGGAGCAGTAGGGACTTGGCCCCCGTTGCTATTGCCAGGGTGTCCGGGCCTTGACTTGAAAAGCTTTTTGGGACAGGAAGAAGTAAAGCATTATCTTCTGGTTTCTCCAGTCCCTGGCACCGGAAGGAGTTCTCTGAAGCCATGTAGCCTCCAGTCTCATTATCAGCTTTGCCAGTTTCTACATCTTGCCTGCACAGGAGTCATATGGGGTCCCTCTTCCCTGTCACAGCAGAGGATCATGGGAACTTGCCAGGAGGTTTCTTCCCTGGGGAGCAGTTTTTTACTATTCCCTAAGCTAACTCCTGGTCCCTTGAGGGACAACAGGGCAATTGTGAGAGTCCTGGCTCCAACCCTGGCCCTGAATTTCCTGGAAGCTGACCTCCGGCCTTGCCCCAGCCCTCAGTGCTGTCATTAATTAGCGAGTGGCTGAAGGAGCTAGTCTTTAAGTGCGATCGGGAGGCCTCAGGCCACCTTATCAGTCCACTGCCGAGGGTACAGCCAGGATGGCACTCAGGTCCTCTCACTCTATCTTCTTTGGGGTGTCAGGGATGCTCTCGGAGAGTGGAGTGAAACCTAACAGGAGGATGTGTCTCTCGTAGGCTTTGGTCTGCTTAAAAACGGTGTCAGTCCCATGGAGGTGGTCCAGGACACCCAGCACCCCATAGCACTGGTTGAACCTGGAGGAGAGAAGAGGGTGCTAGAGGTCTGCACACTGATCTCCATTTGTGCCAGCCTCGTGCATTCCTAAGCCCTCCTACCTCACACCTGTCCCAACAGGGCTGACCACATGCATCAGAATAATCCGAGGAGTTGCACATATTCCTGGAGCTCCTCCAGAATGAAAATCTGAGATCCTCTGAAAAGCTCTCTATGTGATTGCGATGCACACAAGTCAGAACCTGTGGCAGAACTCAGCTTGTTCAGGTAGGTTCAAGGACCACCTGCACAGAATCCCCTGGAACACTTATTAAAATGTAGATTTCCAGGCCCTGTCTCCTTATCCCCCAGACACATCAATTTCAGCATATTTAGAATGGAACCCAAGATCCTGCATATGAGGCACATCTCAGGCTGATTTTTGGTGTAGGTTCACAGACCACACTTGAAAAAGCCTGGAGGCTCAGTACACAACTCCCCTTGAACTGCGTGCAGAGTTCCCCCGTCAGTGCCCATGGCTTACGTGAGGCACTCAAAGAGTCCAGGACCCAAATAAAGGTTAAAAACGTGGTTGCAGGGAAATCCAGTGTCAGAAGGAAAGGGCAAGGTGGTCTGGATCCCAGTGCGGTCATTACATTTCCCCACCTCCAGACCTCTCCCTCCACTAGCGTCCACAGTTAAACAAACGCCAGTGTCTGCCAGCAAAAGCTCCAGGAGTGATGGTGGAAGTTATTCCACAGGGAACCACGATGGGGATGGGGACCTTACTTGAGATGGTGGTAGTCGTGGAATTCAGGTGAAGGCAGGAAAGGTAGGTGGTAGCCACAGTGGGAGATGGTGGTGATGATGAGGGCCAAGGAAAACCACATGGTGATGGAGGACAAATGGGAGCCCATTACCAGGGGACCCACTATCGCCGGCAGCATGTTGGAGACCTGCAAGGAGAAGGCTGTTGGAGGGTGGGCCCCAGGGAGATGGAGAGGATCCAGTCAGGTGTTCCCTTTGCCCTAGGGTGGTACCAGGAGGACTTCCTTGGCTCAGGTCTGGAGAAGCTGAAAGAACTGCAGGACCTTTGCTGGAATTGTTCACCTTTGTGACTTGGGACATGTTATTAATGGTTTGAGCCTCAACTTCCTCAGAAGTAACAGGATCGAAAGGTTGGGAGATTGTTATATGAGATTAACTTAATTTCGGGCATCTAGAATAGCCTGGCATATGCTAGGTCAATGAGTGAGAGCTGTTTAATGGGAAGAAGGAAGGAGCTAGAGTGCTTTAATTCTCTGCAGGAGACCTTAGGGGAGGTGTTTGGGGCCCTCCCTGTGCTCTTTGCTTCTAGGGAGAGGGGAGCTCTACTCACCACGTGCTCGACAGGGTGGGCGTAGAGAGAGATCACACCGATGGGAGCTGTCCACTCGTGGTGTTTCTTATGGATTTTCTTGTAGAATGTTGGGTGGTGAAGGAGCCTGGGAGATAGCCAAGAGTTAAAATCTGCCGATCTCCCTCCCTCTCTCCCCCACCAGATCGTGAGAAACCAAAGGTGATAGAAAACACACTGGATCGGCACTCAGACCTGCTTTTGAGTTCTAACCCCACCTCTCGTGCTGCATAATGTGCCTCTCTCCACTTCAGTTGTATTAACTGTAAAATGGGGAGGATGTCCAGAAAGGATTCACCAAGGAAACGAATGGGAAAAGCCCAGCTGCACACGAATGGAGAAGGCTCTTCCTTTTCTGGAGATTCCTTGCTTGTCTCAAGTTGTCAGTTGTATAACGGCGTTGTCTTCGTGTTAACTAAGTAATAGGAGCCTTTTAAGGCAGGTGGTTTGGCCTACAATTCTGGGGCCTCAGTTTCCTCATCTGTGAGTGAGTCGTAGGAGAGCGAGGGGCCTGCTCACCGGTGTGAGTAGTAGAACATGACCTCCTCGATCAGAGTGAAGATTGCCAGCTCCAGGAGGAACCAGTGGAAAGTGGGCAGCTCTCGACGGCAGGGGTCTCCCCACAACTTGTGGATGGGATAGAGGACGAGCATCATGGGGAGAGAGATCATGAACTGGTTGAAGAGAACTGTGCGGATGGAATGGCGTAGTTTCACAGGGTCCACCTGCCCGAGGGAAGGAAGGAGGAAGATGGATGAGAGTGTGAGAAATAGGTCTTTCCCTTCTAGAAACTAGGCTCCCCTGTGACCTGCTCACAGGAAGGCCTCATTCAGGGCTGGATGCTGGGAGTGATGTTTGGTGGTAGCCAGGCGGCCCTGACTACTACCCAGCCTAGGGGTAGAACTGTCTGGTAATGTTCCCGCCTTTAGAAGTTCCCCTCTCAGCAGCCTTAAGTCTCTGTCTGGGCCTGCCTTCCTCCTGGTTCTGCGACTGTCACCACTGTCCTCCCGTTTCTTGGCTAAGCCCAGCGTACTCCTGCTAGGCACCTTGGGGAGCCTTCACGGTGATTGAAGAAGGCTGTCATCTCTTAGGTTGATGTCCTCATTCAGCCTTTTAGTTCCTCCGCATCCAGGGAACCTTGACCATGATCAGATGCAGAGATCAAGGTCTCCTCATGAGGTCCAGCCTCACTGGACTAGGCCCAGAGTGCAGAAGGAGGTGAGTCAGGTAGCCACCTATCTGCCCTCCTGACTAACTTTCTGTGACCTGGTCCTCCCGGATTTCACGGTAGAGCTGTCAGGATGGGGGCCTGCCTGAGCATTCTCTTCAAGGTCCCTGTGAAGAGCTGGCCCTAAATGTCCATACCCCATTGAACCTCAATACTACAGCCAGCATTCCCCCAAGAATCAGTAACCCCTGAACCTTCTTTCTTTTCGTCAGAGCACTGATGGTCCCAGGAATAATGCCATGACTTCAAGTCATTTCCTGGGGCCTGATGAGGTGGTTTAGGATTGTTCAGAAGGGATTCCTCCCTGAGCTCCCTCTGCAAGCTGGAGAGGTTTCTGACCCCAAGGTGAGCCTGCGTTCATGGTGGCCCTCAAACTTCAAGCTCCCCTCTTCCTCCAGCTTTTCCAGGTACTGTGTGTATTGACTGACTTCAGAGATAATGGTTTTGTGATTGAGGAGATGCAGGCTGAAGGATTTAAGGTGAACTTTTATGATGTCTGGAACTTACCTTCAAAGTGGTAAGCAAAAAGTTTTAGAGGCATAGATGTTTATATCTTTATATATTAATGAAGCAAACGTAAATGTTTAAAATTTAGGTGACGTGTAAATAAGTGATCATTACACTACTTATTCAACTTCTGTATATATGTTTGCAATTTTTTCATAATTACAAAATGTTAGGAAAAGGAGAGTGGACAGAGAGGAAATGGAAACTCTATAGACAGCTCTTTCAAAGAGCTTTGTCGCAAAGGGGAGCAAAAATATGAGTGGCAATGAGAATGGGAGATGGAGTCAAGGGTTTGTGTTTGGTTTTAAGATGAGAAAAATTACAGCATGTTGGTGATAGTCCACAGACGAATAATCTTGAAGTGGGAGAAAGAAAAGATACATGAAAGAGAAGAGAGAATTGCTGGAGCGCTTTGGATGTAAACAAGAAGTAATGGGGTGTGGCGCACAGGCAGTGGAGAGACGGCTGTAATAGGAGCAAGGAGCGCTCACCTGTTGGATCAGGTGGGAAGGCAGAGCGTGTGTGTGTGTGTGTGTGTGTGTGTGTGTGTGTGTGTGTGTGTGTGTGTAGGTACTGCTCATAGGCTGATGTGTGAGTCCTCTTCTGCTTCCTCCAATTCACTTAGAGAAGAGGAAGCAAGGCCATCCTGTTCCAGGAGGTTAGGGGAGGAGATGTTGGGGATTTGAGGAGAGAAGAGGGAGTGTGACTTAGCTCTCCAGGAGAACAGAAAGGTGAACAGACCAGGGACAGGTTTTATGACTGCCCGTAGCATTCAGGTCCCAATTGCGGATCTGCTTCTGATGTCTTAGATCAGGGGTCAGGCTTTCCTGGAATCAGCCAAAGACTAAATGACTTCAGGGTTCCTTCTTACTTGCATGTCTGCATGAGGATGCACATGGTGTAGGAGCACTGGACCTGGAGTCAGGTGAGAGGAGCCCTGGCTCTGTTTCCAGGCAGCAGTCTGGCCTTAAGCTAGTCACTCCTCCTTTCTGAACTGTGACTTTTGCAATACGCTGGAGGATAAGTTGGACCTGGAGGAAACCCTCTAGCTGGCTGGTAGCTCTTGTCCCAAAAGGGACTATGAACCAAGCCAGCAGCTCTGGCTCAATAAGGGGCTTTCGAAAAATGTGGGTCAAAGGGCACTATTTTTCACCCATTCTGTTTTCTGGAGGACTGGGCTGGGGCAGAATGCTGAGAACTGAGATGATTCACCCAAGCACCTGGGCTAATCATTAAAAGATGATTGTCTTCTCTGGGAAAGAAGCCAGGATGTGATTTGGGTGGAGCTGGGAATTTGGGTTGAAGAATCAGTTTCTTCCTTGTTGAATAAGAAAAGGCTCCTGGAGGTTGTCAGAGCACCACGCTGGGCTCCGGGAGCAGTGGGGCTCACTGCCCAGTGCTGTGTAAGTCGGTGTGGGTGTAGGTGTGGGTGTACGTGCCCGTCTTCTCTCCCCTCCTGGCCAGCGGTTCCTCATAAGCATAGTCTGGGCCTTATTTGTCATGCATGAGCTAAGTATCGTTGGTTGAATTGAATAACCAGGAAGGAGGACCTGTTTGAAAACAGTCACCACCCACACATTCAGAATCCATACTATCCATCTAGTACAGTGGGTCGGCCATTGAGTCCACAGCAGTCTCACTCATGACGGCTGTTATCTGTGGTTTCAGCAGCTAGCCATTGTTGTCCCTGCTCCTGTGGCTGAGGATGGAGCTGCCTGATATCTTTGGGACTCAGCTCAGTGCCAGGCGGAGCCGATCTTTCTGTTTGTAGAATGCTGAGGGAAGTGCTGTGGGGCGGCACAGGCAGGGATGGTGTGGGGCCGGGTATTGGAAGACTGCAACAGTGGTCTTGCCTGGCTGGTTCTGAGATTTGGGTCAAATGATTTCCTCTCTTTAACGTTCTAAATTAGGGGAGGCTTGTACACCATAACTTGCCACGGTCCCTCCTGGGTCAGCGATGAGAATTTCGAATGTGGCTTTAGTTCCTGCTTTCTGGGCTTTGACCAAGAGGAGCTGCGGCAACACTTACCGGTTCGTTCTTGCCAACCTGAATTCGGTAGCGGGAGATGAAGCTGGGTTTCCCGGTTGTGTCTACCACCAGAAGAAGCCCATTGAAGCTCCAGAAGAACAGACTGGGCACTTGGGTGGCACCTAAGGTCAGGAAGCAGAAGGGGTCAGGACAACCTCTGGTTCTCACAGCACCTGGATTAACTGGACACACACTTGGTGACTGCAGTGGCACTGTAGACAGTCTCTTGCCAGGAGATCTTGATGCTCAGGGCCAAGGGACCTTCTTTTAGTCCTGGGTGACAAACTAGATGGGGGAACTTGGATGATCACATAAGGAGCATCTCTACTTATTTTCTTAGTTGTAAAATGGGGACAACAATCTTCTAGATGGTTGGTGACTCCCCCCCACCCACCAAAAAAAGTAATAAACTATATGCTCTAAAATATAAATAAATTTAGGTTGACATTTAGGAGTCTGTGCCCATTGAATCCTTGATGAATTTCCAAGGAAGGGAGAAGCAAAGGTATTCACGATGACCACTGGACTAGGAGTCAGTTGGGGAACCTAACCCCTATTACTCTGCTCACTGAGCAGTGAGACTTCAGGTGTCTAGTCAGCATTTTCCGAAGTAGAAAAAGCATCTCTCAAGGGGCTTCTTGGTTCAACAGCCTTCATACACTACTCTCTTGGAGGGTCATGGTCCATACTAGTGTATTAACAGCTCTGAGGATTCCTGCAGCAAAGAAACTCATTTGACTGTTAAACTCAACCTTTCCCAGTCTTTTATTTATTTATTTTTTACCCTAGGACTGTTTTCTTAGAACACTAAGAATAGGATGGCAATGCATCTCTGTTTGCCCAGGATAATTTCTATCGACATCTGTCATTCTAGCATAATTATTAATAGCACC